ATGAATTTCGAAAAACGCTAAAACACGTATTTAATTAATTGTATTGAAAAGCCTTTATATCAAGTTTCAAGTAAGTAATACTGATCATAAATATTTTTTGGATTGTATTATAACGTGTTTTCCCGTGGGAAAGTGATAATTTCTCGCGGTAAAGTAAACTAACCTATGTCACTCTCCAGCCCTCTAACTATATTCACACAAAAAATCAAGCCAATCCGCCAAGCCGTTTCGACATGAAAGAAAAACAAACAAACAAACACACTTTCACATTTATAATATTAGTATGGATATACATTATACATATGTACAATGTACGTACGTTCAGCTTGTTCGATACTAAAAATAATGTATCTATGCTTTAAAAGGCAATAGAGACAATAAATCAAATGTATTGATATAATATGTAGTATCGTCTGTGGTGGATATTATACGACTTTTTTATTTTACATTATTACTGATTAGGTAGAGCTTATTATTTGCATCATTTTAACGACGTAGAATGTTCGCATTATCGTTTTAAAGAAAAAATATTCCTTCCGTATATCTTTGCATTTCATTGCGACCAGATCCATAGACTCAGGTTAACGATATCATAGCTTGTAAGTATATGTTCAAAATTAGTAAGTTAAAATTTTATTTCTATTATTATAATTTACGAATTTATTTAATTTCTATTATTATTATAAAATTTTATATTATTTGTAATGCGAATGCATAAAAGATAAACGGATCTAAGCTGATGCAACCATAAACGTGATCAGCATTATTCTATTTAATTGCATGCTTAAATAGTACGAGTACATAGGAAAATTAGTAATTTTTATTCTACGCACCTTAACGGAAACGTAATGTATACACATATTTTTTGTATTTGCTCTTTTAAATTCTTATTTTATAATATACTAGCATTGCCCGCAGCTCCGCCCGCGTCCAGATGACCAAAACCAAATTCTTAGGTTTTACATATTAGCATACTCTTACATTGCAGTTTTTGTATTTTTTTTCAGAAATGAGACATTTTCCCGCGGTAAAAAGTATCCTATATGTTGACCCGGATAACCAGCTATTATCATACAAAATTTCATCAAAATCCCTCCAGTGGTTTTTCTGTGATGCGGTAACAGACAGACAGACAGACAGACAGATAGACAAAAATTCTAAAAACTATAGATTGGAACTCTGTATCGATAATATTGTCTATTTCAATTAGATTTTCCAAAAAATATTTAATGTACAGATTCGACTTAGTTACAATTTTATTATATGTATAGATGTATACTAAAAATTAGAGGGTCATTTAAGATGTTCGTCTAATACATGGTATATATAGGTAGATATTTCACATAAAATTTATGACAAATGAATAATTTATAAAAAAACGGTATTTATTTTACTTGTAATATTGCCTAGTTATTATTTACTAAAAGCTTGGCCTCGCTTCGCTCGGGTTTGTCCCTAGTGAAAAACAAAAGCAAATCTATCCCAACGGAATCGTACATTTTTACTATAATATATCTCTGTGCCTTTCATCTATCATCCGTTCAGCCGTTCTGGCGTGACTGGGGAACAAACATCCATGCAAACTTTCGTATTTATAATATTAACTAGCGACTCACCCTCGCTTCGCTCGGGTTCCTTCCTAGGTACGTTTTAATGTTTTTGAGCGGAATTCTTTTTCTAAAATAAAAGTAGCCTATAACCTACCTAGCCCTACAACATCAACTACCTATCTCCCAGTGAAAATCCCATCAAAATCAGTCAACAAGCAGACAGACAGACGAAAATTTTCAACACGCATTTAGTAACACGCTGTTAATTTGACTTTACAAACAGACACTTCAATTTAATTCATCTGTATAGATATAAATAATAATGGGATTTTATTATGTATATTACATATTGTTAAATATGTACTGGTTAACGTATTGGTTAACATTAAGGTAGCCAATACGTAAACCGTTATCTGTCGTGACACAGTAATTTGTTATACAAAGAGAACATATTATGTACATAATTCACCTTTTTGGGATTACGAAAGAAGCTACAACACATATTTACATACTATATATTTTGACTTATTATATTTAATCTTAATATATAAATATGGGAATAGGAAGCAAAAGTAAAGATTTTTGGCTACAAGGTATCTATCTACCTATAGGTACCTAAATAAAATACTCTTTCATATCTGTTGACTTCTGTATAAAATTATGGCCGAACTTCTTTATAACAATTTATTTAAAACTGCTTTATTTAAAGTTATAGTATTTCTTATATGAATGAATAATTATATATTTTTTACTTAAATCGCTTTCTGAACATAAATAGATAATTTATTCGATTATTGATCCATCTGATAATAATAATTAATTTGAGTAAGTTGATTGTTTAGACAAAATAAATATACTTGTCATAATGTCAATCTAAACCAAGTGCCAGAGTCGGCGTGTGGCCAACCGACAGAATTCTGGCTCGCGTTACGTAACATCATTTAGTATATGTAGTTGCCATGCACTTTGTAAAACACATTTTATAGCAGTAATGACCCTCGATATATTATTCACTAGTTTTCTAGTTCCTACTAGTAATGAAATATGCATTTGGTGAAATCTAAAAAAACATTTTTTTTTCATAATGTTAACAGTAGGTAATGATTTAACGTCAGGTGCTGGCGTACAGAAAAAATTGAACTTTATATATATATATATATATATATATATATATATATATATATATATATATATATATATATTGTAACCACATTAACGTTACGTAGTGTATATGACTGCCTGTAAACAAAATAATAAAAACCAATTTGTATTAAAAAGTTTGTGTTGAAGTAAATTTCATGAATACTTCTTTTAGTTATTGCCTGTTATCTAAGTGATTTTTGAATTATTTTCTGCCAATGTCAAGTGTTAATTGATATTATTTCAGTGCCTACCTAAAAGGAGGTAACAAATATTTTTACGTTTAAACCTACGGCTGTTAAAATCTATTACATAAAATAAAATTCTGAGTCGAATCTGAACATGAATATTTTTTTTGAAAATTTTGTTGAAATAGCCATTATTATCGATACAGAGGCCGAATCTATAGTGTTTAGATTTTTTGTCTGTCTGTCTGTGATCGCATCACGAGAAAACCACTGGACAGATTTTGATCGAATTTGATATGATGATAGCTGGTTATCCGGGTCAACATAATATATATACTTTTTACTTTTTATTGCAAGGAATATCTCATCACTGAGAAATCTATACTGAACGTTAAAACGTAATTTTGAGAATAAATAAAAAAAATAAGAATTAATTTTGCAATTTACAATTACACTGAATCTATATTCGAATTTTTTTTGCTACATTAAAACCTCATGATTGCTGTTTTTACAATATCTTTGTTTATTATGTATTACAAATATGTCAACATTTCTATTTATCTTTCTGCCTTTGACTGACTAATTGGTAATAGTAAAAACATAAACTGTAAACCGAAGCCAAGGAAACAAATTGCATTATAAACCAGAAGTTAAAAGTTAAATATTCAGAGATTGCTGGAGCGCAACGTGGGCTTCTCTTTGCATAATTCATTGATCGGTGCCGATTAGACCGTCGACAACAAAATAATGCTATTTATCTGAATTCAAAATCAACATTTCGGATTATGCGGTTTGACGTCAGACATTACGCATAAAAACAGTGGGATTTCAGCTTGCTTTAAGAAAATAATATACTTAATAAATAGTCTGTAAATATAGGTAGGTAGGAAGAACATATACCTATGTAGAATACTTAAAAGAATGTTTCTAAAACATTTAGCTACTAGCCTCGTTGGTCTTTGGAAAACAGAATTATACTGCTTAAATGTTAAATGTTATTTTAAAACAAACGGCACTATATTCATAATTAGAGAAAATGTGGACTCGTTATATATTATGTATGTTGCTATATTTTGTCTAATTTCCATTGTGTGCGTTTGTTGAACGATAGCGTTCATCAGTTCACACGCAAGGGAAAGAAATAGTGTCAACGTCTGTTTATCAAGAATTTTGATTTAATATCTGGCTCCATGGGCGCCTTATTTCTGTTATCTTGTTTATAAAGCACTAACGAAGATAAAATAACATTTTGGTAGATATCGTATGGTGCCTATTTCTTGTAAGTCTTACGCTAACCGTTTATCATCACATTCTTTTATGACGCCATATTAAAATGAGCCTTATTGTTCCTCATTATCTTATGATTGTTGTTTATGTTCTCTTATCACCTACCTATTTATTCGCGCAGTTATATTGATGATCGAAATGTGGGTCATAACTCGTAGTAAATAGTTTTATTAATAGGGTACTAAGAGCTTTGCTATTATCTTATATATTAGAACACATAAATATTGGAAATTAAGAAGATGTTTTGATTAATGGAAAATGCCAAAATACAACAATATTCACAAACGGACGCGTCGATGGCGTCTATTGTTGGCGGCATCCCGTAGCTATCTATTATTGACTCGTCGCTGGAGATATTTGGCGTTGCGCCAGCGCTGACCACGTGTTCGCTAGTCACAAGACGAGACATGGGTGCTCGGTTTCTTATGTGTCTAGCTAACACTACATCCTATTGCTTCACTCTAAATTATTGTATAATAAAGCCGCACAAGTCTAAATTGCTATTTCAATGAAAAAACAGTCGAGTGCAAAGTACAACGCTTGCGCACTGACGGTTTTTCTATTTGAGATCGATTTTTTATATAAGGTCAATATTAATAGGCCATGCAAATTCTAACACAATTTTAGGTTTAGACTTGGCGCGTTTTTTTTATAAGTACTCGCCGTAAAATGATATATAAGTATTTATATAACTATTTTAAACATAAAGTAGTAGAGAGATTTATATAAGAATATTACACTGTCGATTATTTTCTGTATCTAATTTAAAGGTATTATTTGCACAATAATTTCGGTGTTTATTAGAATTGAAAGAGATTTTAATAATTTCTTACAGTCCTTAAAACCGAGAAAGTGCCTAAGATGAAAAAAGAATCTAACAAAAACCTAAATGCAGTCAGTTGTAGTAATGGTCATGTTAGTACAAATGGCCGCGCAGATGACGAGGGTGGCGGTGGCAACGTCCCGTCGCCACGTGTGTCTTACGCTGCCGCTGCGCGAAAGGCAGCCTCACCGCAGGCTAATAACACACCCCCGCAATACCCGCAGAGCACAGGTGTGATCTTCGATGTTGTGCCTTAGATTAGCGTTGAAACATTTAATGCACTTTTTTACTTATAATAAATATATAATATACGGTTTTATACAATTTAATAAACTTGATTTTTTTTTATTTTTCAGAATGCCTCAAAGGAAAATCTTTAAGTGAAAAACCTGCAGTAAAATCCGGTACTTCGACTACGAAATTAAATGGTGATAGATCAATATCAGATGATAATAATGAGAATAATAAAGATAAACCAAGTACCAAAGAACCAATAATGAATGGCACTGAAAATACTAATGTAGATCTTATCAATGGAGACCCAAAAAATAATTCAGATTGTGATATTAGTAGTAGTAGTAATACTAAAATAGTTTCTAATGGAATTAACAGTGATACAGATGACACAAAATCTAGTAAATCAGATGAAAACAACGATATAGGTGAAACTCCAGATTTAAATTTAACTGTTTTTGATACTAAATCAGTAAGTAGTAAAAAGAAAGAAAATAAGAAAATATCATCGGAGAAACAAAAGGACGCTGACAAGAAGAAGTCTAAAGCAGACAATAGTGTAGACGATAAGGAAGATAATGAAAGCTTAAGTACATTGGATAAATTGGATAAAGATGAGGATAAAACTGATGATGAAGTCGGTAAAATTAATAATGGTGACAAAGAAAGAGAATCGTCGCCCAGTGAGGATGGAGATGAAAAAAAACGTGATGCCGAAGTTGTATTCATACAGGATATGGGATTTACAGTGAAGATTGTTAGTCCTAGAGCTGAACCTTTAGACATTCAGGTATTTCATAAATTCCTTTTATATTTTATCCTTACGATTTACGAATGTAAAATTTCATAACCTTTATTTGCAGGTTTCGAGTATGGAACTCGTACAAGAGATACATCAAGTTCTAATGGATCGTGAGGATACTTGTCACAGAACTTGTTTCTCGCTTCAGCTTGATGGTATTACATTAGATAATTTTGCTGAGCTGAAAAACATTGAGGGTTTAAAAGAGGGTTCTGTTATAAAGGTATACATATACTGTCATAGTTATATAACTGTAGTACTATAATTTTATTAGTATAATATATTAAATAAAAAATGTCTTCTATTACTAAGTATATATAATATATATAAAATTAAGATCTAATAATTAATTGGTTAAAAATTACAATTATAGGTCGTTGAGGAGCCATATACAATGCGTGAGGCTCGAATTCACGTACGTCATGTACGGGATCTTTTGAAGTCTATCGATTATGTAGATGCGTATGCAGGCCAGGAATGTAGTTCTCTTGCTTTCCTTAACGTTATCACACAGGGTGACATACTAGGTATATTTTTGTTTATTACTGTATTTTTTGTGAAATTTATTACTTGATAATTTGTTAGATTTACGCGAATAATAGACATTTTAAATAAAACTATCTTTTTGCATTTTTTCGCGAATTTATTATTTGATTTTTGGTTCACGATGTTTCTAATGCTTATTACTTGACTTAAAATATAACGTGCTGTTACTTCAGAGAAGAAAAAATCAAGACCAGAGAGTGTTGATTGTACTCCTCCCGACTACATAATGCCTGGTAGCACAGAACGTCCATTATTGCCTCTTCACCCAGGACTCACGAAGGAAAATAAAGCCCCACAATGTCTAAAGGTGATTGTGTTTAGCTCATGTTAATAATTACAAAGATTGTCTAAATGTTTGTATGTTTTAGGAGTTTGTAATGTATTATGTTTTTCAGGTCCTTACAACGTCAGGCTGGAATCCACCACCAGGGCCACGAAAAATGTGTGGGGATTTACTATATCTGCATGTCATTACTTTAGAAGACCGTCATTTCCACATAACGGCGTGTCCTCGCGGTTTCTACCTCAATCAGTGAGTATTTATATTGCTAGTAACACCTAACGCTATTTATATACAGAAAGAACATAATATATTCGCTTTTCTGAAAATTTCATATGAATAAAAAATTATGTTGCAAGCTCAAATGACATTATTTTTTTTATTTTCATATTAATCTCTTTCTCAAGGTTATGAGTAAGAGAATAATATGTACGTTCATAATATTTTAATAATACAAATTCAAAATACCGACAGATGTTTTTTGCTTTACCCGCGTATAAATATTATTTAAAATGTCGGATGCGCCAGTGGAATTTTGACGAAGGTTAATTGTAGTCAATATTGGATATCGTTTAAAGGAGCAATACTTATATAAATAACTTTGTGTTCTGAAAGATACTTAAATAGTTAATTACTATCTGGTATTAAGTAATTATCATCGCTTGATAGCATTCAATCAATCAGATCCAGTGAAGCTTGAAAATTAGTCAGAGATGAGCGTTCGTCACGACTTTGCATTAACAAATAAATTTGACAATTTTCAAATATGTTTTCAAATGTTTTATTACTCATTCCAGATCCACCGAAGAAGTGTTCAATCCTCGCCCTTTCAACCCGTCCTTACTTTGCCATTCCCTCATAGAGCTTCTAAGTATCGTGTCACCTGCGTTCAAGCGGAACTTCGCGCTGGTACAGAAGAGACGCATGCAGAAACATCCATTTGAAAGGGTCGCTACACCCTACCAAGTATATCAATGGGCTTCACCTATGCTGGACCATACGGTGGACGCCATCAGAGCCGAAGATAGTGAGTTATTATCTTTATTTTGCAAACATTATTATAGTACAAATGTGTGTAATCTTGCAATATTTTGGGTGTTCTGAAGATATATCCTATTCATAAAAATATGGGAAGATATGTAAAAAGAAATACATATGAATGTTAGTGTCACATTAAGTCCCTTCTTTTCGAAGTTGGTCAAAAAGCTTATAAAAGTATATCAATGTTGGTTCAAGGTTCATACCGTGTAGTGTAATATACATATATTATAAAGTGAACGTATCCGCACACAGCGTTCTCCTCCAAGCTGGGCTACGAGGAGCACATCCCGGGGCAGACTCGCGACTGGAACGAGGAGCTGCAGACCACGCGCGAGCTGCCCCGCGCCACGTTGCCTGAGCGCTTGCTTCGCGAGCGGGCTATATTTAAGGTAATTGTATTAATAACTATTGTGGTGTTCATTTTTTTGAATTTGACTTAAAAGCAAAATTAACCGCAAAATAACCCAAAATAGTTAAAAGGTTTAAAATTTCATATATTTAATGTTTTATTTAGGTAAATCTTCAATTCAATTCTCTTGTTAATAACTCAACGCGTAGCAGTTAAGCACATATTATTTCGTCAATGTCACGTAGAATAGAGAATATAGGCAAATTTTATTAAAATTAAACTAATTTCAATAAAAAATGTCAATTTTCATATATTAGGTCCACAGCGACTTCGTAGCGGCGGCCACGCGCGGCGCCATGGCGGTGGTGGACGGCAACGTGATGGCCATCAACCCGGGTGAGGAGCCCAAGATGCAGATGTTCATCTGGAACAACATATTCTTCTCCCTCGGCTTCGATGTACGCGATCATTATAAAGACCTCGGCGGTGATGCTGCGGCTTTTGTTGCGCCGGTAAATGTGTTTCGGTTACTCTTATATTGTGCTTTATTTGAACATTGAAGATATGACATAGAGATAAATGATTTGGTTGTCTGTGTTTTTTTTGGAAATGTATCGAAATTAAATTTTGTTTGTATAATATTTAGAGTTAAATAGAATAAAAATATGTATATGAAAGCTAAATTGAAGTATGTGAGTAATATTATAGAATTTGTAGAATAACTAATTTCAAAATCTAGTCCTAATATTGTAAAATTGCATTTGAAATAATATTTGCTTAAGATAGCTCTTGTCCTTAATATTATTTCCATCGATAATTTAATATAAAGTTCATATTAAGCCAGTTTCATAAAAAGTTTATTGCTTGTAATCTAAATAGAACAATTAAAGGTTTGGTACTGGCTGATGTAATATCTACACAGTGCCAGATTCAACCTTAGCGCCACCCCTGGGCAATGTAAGAAATGTCGCCATATTATCGAAATTTTGCATAAAATGGATAAAGTTTCGGTAATGTTCATTTTTTTTATATTTGATTAATGCAAAAAGTAGTTATTTTTTTAATTATTCATTTTTTGGAAAAATAGAAAAACATTTTCAATAAGGCGAAATTTTTTTTTATTTATCCTTCGAATTTTGCCGCCCCTGAAAATTTGCAGCCCTGAGCACTAGCCCCGAGTGCCCCTAGTGTAAATCCAGCGCTGGATCTACATGAACTGTTGTAATAACGTATGTGTACAATGCTATATGCAGCGCAATGACCTGCAAGGCGTGCGCGTGTACAGCGCGGTGGACACGGCGGGGCTGCACACGTTGGGCACGGTGGTGGTGGACTACCGCGGCTACCGCGTCACCGCGCAGTCCATCATACCCGGCATCCTGGAGAAGGAGCAGGAGCAGAGCGTGGTCTACGGCAGCATCGACTTCGGCACCACCGTCCTGTCACACCCCAAGTACATGGAACTGGTGAGTCTACACACACGTGCACAGCTACACGCACACAAACACTCAAGGGCAATCACATTGTACAGAGTATAGAATAGAGGGGCTATTAATTTTTTTAAAGATATTTTTCAACAAGAATAAGTCTAACTACTAGATAGTAGAATCGTTAAAAAAAATGAGTCAAAAATAGATTTTTTATCTAAAATGTAGCCGTAAATCGATTAAAATAGAAGAAATTAATCAAGATATGAATAATGGCTTAATAATAAGTATTAAATAAACCATTGTTATTATAATACACATATAGCCCTTATCAATATAATTAAGTTCTGCATTGCTTGGTTTTTATCATTTATTTTAATAAAAGAACTTGCTCAACGTTTTAATTGACCATAGAAATCTTTAGCAAGATTAATTTAAACGTAATTGTGTAATATAATTTAGAAAATAAGTATGTGAATGAGATGAACATAAAAATTATATATTGCTTGATTATACATTAGATTTCTCATAAAATTATACCATTTAGTTAAGTTACGCATACAAGGCAATTTATCATCAGTTTCATTGTAGGCACGTTTACATAATATTAATAAAAAACATTACTATTGTGTTACTCTTATCCTTGAAGTAAAATTACAATGACAAAGATTTACATTGAATGTTACGTTGATATGTACAATGTGCATGCATATTGTTTATTATATCTACCTACCTCATAGGTCTAGTAGCTACCTTATACGGCTGCAGAGCACGAGGTTTGAATCCTTGGTCCGAATTAAAAAAAATTGGATTGAAAATCTGGTGTGGACAAAAATATCAAGAAATTCTTGATGCTGCAATCAAATAATGTCATATTCATATTTGTAACATAAATTGATACGGTATATGTATAAGATATTGTCAGACTTAGGACTATTTTCCTCAACATTTTAAATTTATTTTGACATTTTGCTAAACATATTGATATTTAAATGACCCTAAATCTATTGTGTAGTCTCTCTATTATTATAAAATATTGAAATGATCATTTTTAATCTTTATATTTAAAATTTCGGTGTGGGTGCGTGTGTTTGTAAATTTTATCCTAAACGGCTTGGTCAATTTTGATAACAGACTTTATTTATTTTTTATATCAAACGAAGTCTGACTAGTGGGTTCTCTAGTATAATTATTATTATAGAAAAAGCATTGAGTATTATTCACGCACTCCCGGTATAGATTTGCGTTTGTTCTTAAAGTAACGAAACGTAAATAATATTCATTTTTCAGTTAAGCAAAGCCGGTCAACAGCTAAAGATAATGCCGCACTCAGTGATCAGCGCCAATGGTGAAACTGTAGAGCTGTGCTCCAGTGTCGAGTGCAAGGGCATCATCGGCAACGACGGCCGCCATTACATACTGGACTTGCTCCGCACTTTCCCGCCGGATGTTAACTTTTTACAATGTGAGTATAAGTTATTTTATTTCTTCTATTGGTTTTATTTATGTTGAAGAATAGTCTTAAGATCCAAAGAAAAGTCCATCAATTTTAACACATGAAAAGATATATATATATAAAATCATAAAATAAATCTCAAAATGTCAGAAACTGAACGCCTGTGGTATTTATTCTACTCATTAAAAATCACACTTAACTAATTCAATATGTTCAATTACTAACTATAAACAATTTTTTTGTACTTTCTATTAATATTTTAATTAAACAAAAATTCTTACAAAGTATGTCTTTAACGCCTCGGCCAACACGTTATCGCGTTAAGTGCGGCCGCGGCATAATGAGATGTGGTTCTTTGACCATATTTCATTAGTTAATTGTATTATGTTTAATACAATATAGTTTACATTCAGTAAGCAGTTTTCATGTTCATCTAATATAACCGTCGCTTAGTGTAACTACCTTTGTTGAGATTATCAACATAGACTATGGGCCACGTGGCGTGCCTTGTTGGCACTACCCATCCTACTTATACTTTGTAACTAAATCTAGAATAGTAAAGTTTTATGTTTATTAAGAATAATACCCATATTTTAAAAATCTTTTGCAGTGGAAGACGACGAGTTAAGAGAAGATATTAAATCAATGGGCTTCCCGATTATACATAAGCACAAATTGTGTTGCCTTAGACAGGAGTTAGTTGATAGTTTTGTTGAGTGAGTAGATTTTTAATGTACTTAATAGCTATATTGATTATTTGGTAGAGATATTTGTTTTTTATATAAATTATAATTTTTAGAGCACGTTACTTCATGTTCATACGTTACGCTGCATTCCACCTACAACAGTTAAGTGCGAAGCGTCAGCGTAAGACTTCAGAACAAAAATCGCTTGAAGCTAACAAAGTAAGTGCTATAAAAGAGGCTGTTAAAGAGACTGAGAAGGAAACGAAGACAGATAATAAGAGCCAAGAGAAGGAAACTAAGGATAAGAAACAAAAGAAAGATGAGAAAAAGGAGAAAGAGAAGCTAGACACTGCCAAAAAGGAAGATGTAAAAGAGAAAGTAACAGAGAAGGAAGTAGTGGAGAGTTTGGACGTAAAAGAAAAAGATGACGAAATATTACTCAATGAAAATTATTCTGAAATCGACACAGATGTCGCTAAAAAAATTGTTGAGAGTATTACTGATTCTATTTGCAGTGGAGATAAGCAAGAGAGCGATTGTGAGTAAAGATTTGATTTATATTCTACAAAGTGTTCATTCTGATCTAATTTTAATATTTCATTTACATATGTAAGGATTTTTTATAATTAGCAACTAAACTTATAAGAGGTCGCGGGTTCGATTCCTAAGTTTTTGATTAAATTTTATTGTATGTTAGTAGTAGTCATACAGTCATATATCATAAACACAGATTACGCCTTTTCTCGTATTCCAAACTAAGACTTTGCAGTACCAAACCAAACATAGCAAAAGCTTGTGCTCAAGACAAGTGCTAACCAATTATTATATAATATATTAATACACATACATGGAGTATTTCATGTGGAGCGCATCATGAAAAAAAGTGAGGTTCTGAAATTCGTTCATTTTAGGCATAGTTGTAGGTGATATGAATATGTACACATAATATAATATATTTTTACGTCGCATATATTACGTTTGATTGTTATCCGTAGCCGGCGAGCGTTCCCGCGCAGTGGTGGCGGCGGCGGCGCGCGCGGTGGCGTCGCTCAAGGAGTCGGAGTTCGATGTGCGCTTCAACCCCGACGTGTACTCGGCGGGCATCAAGCACGCCGCCGCGCCCGAGCAGCTCGCGCGCCAGCGGCACCTCGTCAAGGAGGCCGCCGCCTTCCTGCTCACGACCCAGATACCGGCTTTTGTGAGTTCATGCTGTTACACATGATTTGTTTTTTTTTTAATTTTTGCCAAAGTTGGAGCAAATTTATGATTCAATCAGTAGACTGTGATTTTTTTATTATCTTTATTTTTTTACATTTATTATTTATATTTTCTTAAATATTTGTATATTTTTTTTTATTTTTATTCTTTGTTAAATTAATTCTCTAGTTTAGCACTATTTAGATTAAACAAGAGAATGTACTCATTAAATAATCTTAATACAGTTGATTGCATTATTTCAATAAGTATTTTGTGCCCGTTTAAGCGCGCGTCGCTCAAAAATGTCTACTATAAAAAATACAAAAAAATATAACATTTCAATTACCAGTTCCAATCTAAATAATTTTAAGTTTATCTAAGCACTACATATACACATATTAATAACTAGAGATTTATCCCGGACTAATTTCAGTGCATAAGTAGCCTATTTGTTACCTCAAGTATACTTTGGTAGGCTACTGTTTCTACTTTCTCTGTATCAGGTCTGCCAAATCGTATAATTGAATACGAAAATTGTAAAATATGGTTATTTTGTGTATATTTCATTTTAAGTTATTATGTATTTTTATTGTAATTTTTTATTCGTCACAGACTATTTCTTAACAGTTTTGTTAATTTGTATAACAAAATTTGATTTGGTATAATTTGTGTGACCAAGCGATGTAAAATAAGTTGGCTCTACTGGCAGCAGTTGTCTCTACTGGCAGCAGTTGTCTCTACTGGCAGCCCTGCTCTATACAAGGTTTCTCATTTATAATACCAGTCGGATTATGTCGTAACGCAGGTGCGCGAGTGCCTGGAGCACACGTCGGCGCCGATGGACGGCGCGGGGCTGACGGAGGCGCTGCACGCGCGCGGCATCAACGTGCGCTACCTGGGCCGCGTGTGCGCCGCGCTGCGCCCGCACGCGCCGCTCGCCTACCTGCACAGCATCGCCGTCGCCGAGCTGCTGCTGCGCGCCGCCAAGCACGTCTACACGCCATATCTACAGGTAATAGCAATACATATGTATATACTAGCAGTACCTGCGGCTTCGCCCGCGTCCAAACTTTCGATCGCTAACAAAATTCACAGGATCAGCCGCTGGGCTAATCTGATGTTTACCTGAAAATTTCATCAAATCGCTCCAGCTGTTTTGAAATCCACAGAAAACATACATAAACATATCGATTTTTATTTTATTTAAACAAAAATTTAAATTTATTTATTGCTCAGAAAATCTTTATGAATCTTATGAAAATTTAGTGACACGCCAACTGCAGCGCCACCTACTGGGTCCATTTGTATTTTAAACCATCCAGGAACCCATTGAAATATACACACAAAATTTCATCCAAATCGGTCCAGTCCTTTAGGAGGAGTAGGTTAACAAACATACAGAAGAATTATATATATTAAGATATGTGAAAAAGTTTACTTCTATTTAACGTTATTCGTTTATTTTACCTGCGGGCTTACGATTCATGTCAAAGAGTTTAGCGAGATAAGTATAACGAATTCCCCCCTAAATGACAAACTATTTCGGAACTTAAGTTTCATATGAGTTTCACTGCTATCTTTGAGATATGAAAAAAAGAGCGTAATTAACTGTCATTCAAAACGATAATGATGAGATAGTGAAGTAAAAACCGACGCGAGTTTTTAGGTAACTTGTAAACTTATCCGGCTAGACCCATTAGCATGATTATATTTTTTATGTAATTTCGATGATAGTACATTAATATATCATTAAGCCTTTCTGGTGGAGCCAGAATGTACTCTTACATTAACAAGATTGAGTTTTTGCTAATTTCATTAGTTTATAAATAAAACTTATCTAAATACTTCTAGACATTTTACCATTATTATGTTTCTACTACTTTTTGTATTCAATATTGTTTTTAAAGTCCTGAATCTATATAGTAAAATGTTTATGGAATAGTATAATAACAAAACATTATCTACACCAGGGCTGCGAGGCCATGTACACAGGCACAGCCGTGGCGCACTTCCTGAACTGTTTCCTGGGCGCGTGCCCGAGCCCGTCCGCCGGCGCGACGGAGGCGCCCGCGCGCGCGCCGCGCTCGCGCCGCCGCGCCAAGAAGACGCACCACGCGTCGCCCGCGTCGCCGCCGCCCTCGCCCGACTGGCAGAACCTCACCCCCAAAGCGCTGTTTGCACAGATTAAACAGGAGCTTAAGGTAAGTGGATTGAGTTGACATTTGTTTTTTAAATAAAACTATCTTTTCGGATTCTTTTCGCGAATTTATTTTGATTTTTGGTTCCCGACGTTTCGATCGCTCGAAACGATGATGTCAAATATTCGCGTAAATCTTAAGAAAGTATTATTTTGTCATTTGAAAACTTCTTAAAGGCAGGTTTGGATGGGCCACAGAAATCTTAATAATAAGGTAATAGAAATGCCATTGCGGTCTTTTAGTACTGGGACGCGTGTCGCCGGCTTGCAGCTACCAACACATTGACAAACAATAAATACACACTATCGCTCACACATGCATTTTGCATTGTTGCAACAAAAATTAAACTTTAAGCGATGACATTACGCAATATTTTCTAAAAACGCATAATCTCAGAACCCGTGATCCCTGTGACCAATAATAAACGTGTGCGAAAAGCACAGAATGATATCGCGCGCTCACTTCTAGTGCAGCACAAAGCGCATAATGCTCATATCGATAATTTTCCGTTGAGTCTTGCAACAATAGGTAACTAATTTATTGAAAGTGTTTTATGTTTCATTCCTCGACGCGATTTTGGACGATTTATTTATTTTCATAAAGGGAATACAATAAAACGTTAAAAGTAAGTAATTTTTTTTATTATTATATAGTTATACACTCAACAGCTACTATATACTCAACAGCGATATATTGTTTTTAATTCTAGTTTAATTTAATGAAGAGTCTGACTGAATTTTGTTTTTATAATGTTTTTATTGACTTGCATATATATGCATAAGTGATATAAAAATTGACTTGTATAACTACATATATGTTATTATATTCTAAATTGGGTGTATACCTTTGCAATAAATATTATTATTATTATTATTATTATATCTTTTTCTTTTTCTCGAAATATATAATTTCGGTGTAATGAATCTCACGGGCTTACGCCAAGTGAGAATCATCATTAGTTATTGTTTGTTGATTAGGGCAATCGTCTTGCAGAAACTTTCGGACTATGCGACATGTGTTCAGAATAGTGGCTTTTTGCATACTTATGAAAGTGTTAGGTGATAAATCTATAACGCGGAGAGAATGCAGCAAATACTTTGGTATAACTCCTGTACTGGAAAGCACCAACGGTACAATATATACTTTATTCATTTTCCATATTCTAATAACTTCTTCTTTTAATTCGGTGTATTTATGTATTTTTTCTGTTATAGTTTTTTGTAAATTGTGTGTATTCGGAACTGCAATATCAATTAAATAAGTTATTTTATTTATTTTATCTATAAGGGTTATGTCCGGTCTATTGTTGTGGATGGTTTTATCAGTTAATATTGCTCTATCAAAGTACATCTTGTAATTGTTGCTCTCCAAGACTGGTTTTGGTGTATATTGATAGTATGGCTGGGGTTTATCTTGTATTAATTTATGTTTACTGGCTAGTTTTTGGTGAATCATATGGGCTATTTGATTATGCCGATGAGTATAATCCGTTTGGGTAAGGCTAGGACAGGCACTGGTAATATGTTGTATGGTTTCTGGTTGGCGATGACATTTCCGGCATTTATCACTTTTTAAGGTTGGATCTTTAAGAATGAACTTTTTATAATTCCTCGTATTAATTACCTGATCTTGTATGGCAATAATAAAGCCCTCTATTATTATTATTATTATTATTATTATTATACAAAAGTTATGCAAACTATTTGTTAAAATCCTATACATTTTTAACAATGACTTAAATTTTTTTATAGAATTTCTATGTTATGTTTATCAAACAACTCGCCCTTAGAATTATTTACTCAATCAAATCAAATCAAAAAAAAATTTGGTAAATGCGGAACATGTCAACGATACAAGGATATTCAACGCATACTGTTTTTGACTTACCCATATACATAACAATAATAAGCCTACCTCCTAATAATTTTCTGAATGAAAAAGTAGTTTAAAAGTACGAATTTACAGATAATCGTTGATAAATGACTTTTTATAAATTATTCAGACAGAAAGAAAACATACATAATGAGATGTAACAATTAAATATTTAACGAAAAATATTAAGCCCAACGTAATAAATTTTCGATAAAAAATAGTGGTGGCACGTCACTAATTCGCGGTCAACTTATGCGGCGTGTCCTTGGAATTTACGTACGCGACGATATTGTTCTTTACGCATGACTATTATTTCATTGCTGCTTTTAGCAGTTGTAATAGTAGACATGAACAAGCTTAAGTGGTAATGGTTATTGATTTGAAAAAAAAAAACGTTTTCCTGCGATAATCGTAGTAGTGGTGGTGAAAACATTTGATTTGGCTATATTTCTTAAAAACGACATTATTTCAAAAATTAAGTACTTATATATGAAATGTTATCCCTTTATTTGTAAAGTTACAAATTGTGGAAGAATTTCCGCAGTTGGATATGCTGCAAAACACCATGTTTACCTCTCCGTGTCTGTATGTGAGGGCTAGCCCTAAAATTGTAAGGGCTGGGACACCTCACATAGACGATGAGCTGAAGCGGGGGTTGGAGTTGTAAGGGAGAGAGATGTAAGTAACTTACTTGGAATGTAGATGGGCGGATGATAGATGGATGGCGCTGGGTGAATGGCACGCTCCTGGGCTGAATATACCTTTGCACGTATAGGTACACGTGCAACAAAGTTTTATATTATACGCTATATTCACTATCACTGTTCAATTGTCTGTATAGTTTACTTTAATAGAAGCCGGCCGGCAATATACTTATAATAATTCACACACACGAGCAGATGAGCTGAAGGGTTTTACTTTTACATATATTTTCAATTTAACGACCCTTCTCGAACCGTGGACGACGCGTGACCATTTTCGAGTGGCGCGCATGCGACGCTCGCGCCGAATCCATGAGTAAGAGTGAGAAAGCAAATCAGGGAACCAATCGTCGCGCCCGAGTGGCGCGAACATCCTGGGGGGCCCGAGAGAGCACCTCTTCTTGAGCTGAATCTAACGGCAGCCTTGCTATCTTGAGCACAGGTCTGCGCAGATGTCCGTGGGCTGTGTCCAGATCCACAACTCGGATCACTCCATCCTTGCCAGGTATTGTGCGGGTAATTCTTCCCAGTTTCCATTGGAGCGGGGGCAGGTTATCTTCTTTGACGAGTACAAGTTCGCCAACTTGAGGAGGTGAGGAAGGGGAAAGCCATTTGGAGCGGGTCTGAAGGGTATGGAGGTAGGATCTGGTCCACAGTGTCCAAAAGCGTTGAGAAAGAGCTTGTATGAGTTGAAAACGTTTAAGAGCAGATAATGGCCTGTCATCAAAGGACGGCTCGGGCAGAGCTGTGAGCGGACGGCCTATAATAAAATGGCCAGCAGTTAAGGGTTGAAAGTCTGACGGGTCGGATGAAAGTGGGCATAGAGGTCTGGAGTTAAGTACAGCCTCAATTCGTGTCAGAAGTGTAGAAAATTCCTCAAATGTAAGGTGTTGTTCACCAATTACGCGATAAAGTAATTGTTTCGTAGATTTAATGTTAATTTCATGTAACGCGCCGAACCAGGGGCCCTTTGGGGGGTTTAACAACCAGGTTACGTGCTGGTTAGCTAGTTTGTGTGTGATTGCATCATTATTAGCAGTGAGAAAATTTTGGACTTCTATGAGGTGATTTCTAGATCCTACATAATTGGTGCCGCAATCTGATCTAATTAGTACCGGCGTACCGCGCCGTGAGATAAATCTTTGTAACGCCGCGAGAAAGGCTTCTGTGGTAAGAGCAGAGACGGCCTCTAAATGAACCGCCTTAGTTGAGAGACACACGAATATGCAAAAGTACGCTTTTAAGAGCTTAGCGTTCCGTAATGTGCTGGATTTAATGAGAAACGGGCCGGCAAAGTCAGTCGTGACTTGGCTAAATACAGGTTGAGGGTTAACCCTGTCCGCGGGAAGGTCTCCCATGAACGGGGCTTCGGGTTGAGCGCGACATCGGAAGCATCTTATACATTTAAACACCCGGCGTCTGATCACGCGGCGAGCGGATAGTATCCAGAATTGCTGGCGGAGAATGGCGTGTAGAGTGTCAGAGCCAGGATGGCAGTGTATTTTGTGGTAATGGTCAATGATGAGGTCTACGAGTGGGCTAGAGCTGGGCAGAATGAGTGGATGTTGAGCATCATACCTAATTGGAGCATGAGAAAGACGACCACCGACTCTCAGGAGACCGTCTTTGATAAATGGCGATAGACGCTGCAGTCGAGCAGTAAAAAGTTTATCTTTTTGAAGACGGTGAAAGTCCTCTGCGAACTCATTTTGTTGAACAGAGCGGACCCAGAATAACAGAGCGTCCCTACGTTCGCCAACAGTCAGCGGACCAGCGCGTCGTGCCTTTGGGCTGTGCTTACAATTGAAAATGAAACGCATGATACAAGCCGTCACCCCGACGAGCTTGTCAAGTGAGCTGAAGCGAGTGAGCAGATCATGGTCAATATCCGGAACCGCTATATGTGCTGGTAATTTTCTCGGTTTAAGGCCTGGTAGAGCATGGTGGCCTAAAGCGACTGGCATCTTGGGCCAGGTACTAGGGGGCTCTTTGAGCCAACTGGGAGACCACCAGAGATCATGAGCTGAAAGCGATTGTGCTGACATGCCCCTGCTTGCACAGTCTGCAGGGTTGAGCTTCGTGGGAACATGTCTCCATATAATGCTAGTCGGACTAGACGTTATTTTTGCCACTCGGTTGGCCTCGAATGTCTGGAGCCGATGAGGGGGCGTGTTTAGCCACGCTATAACTATTGTGCTATCCGACCAACAGATATGCTGGTCTATAGCAATATGAGCTGATAATTTAGTGGACACACGAGTCATGAGTTGCGATAATAGAGCTGCGGCTGATAGTTCCAATTTAGGAATTGTGAGGCGATTCTTAATAGGCGCGACCTTAGACTTGGCAAGGACCAGGTGTACATTGACCTGTCCATTAGCATTGAGCTCATGAAGGTAAATAACAGACGCAAATCCAGCTTCTGATGCG